AAGAATGCAACTTCATGGTTTATTTCTTATCGTGAATGCTACTAGAGACTTGAAGATTTGTTTAAGGATCAAAATCTCGTAAGTTTTTCTTATCTTTGTTTTATGAAATTTTCTAGGGTAACAGTATGAACTTTCATGGATGGAGTAAACTATCATCCTTGCAGTTTAGGAATTATATGATTTATATTATTAATTACATGAGCGGAAATATTTGATTGAGAGTCTGATTATTCACCGCGAGTGGCGATTGCTTGATTAGATGTTCCCGAAAATCATGCACATAGTCCATGCTACAAGTTTCGTTTTCATAAAATGCATGTTATTTAATATTCTATTAAATTGAGAGAAAATAATTGGAGAATTTTATTATCAAGAACTCCTAATTTTATTTACCAGACAAAACCTTTTAATATCCAAGAAAAAACCTTATCCCTTACACTTAAATTTTTGTCCACAAAAGGGGCAGTACTAATATCGCGTGCGTATGACGATAATACTCGACAGAAATATATTGGAAGCAAAGAAAATGAAAGGAGAACAAAAAAATATAGATTCACAAAATATGGATTACTTATTAGCCATGGGAAACTAATGAATAATTGAAGTTGTGATTTTCGCCTGAGAAAATTGGGTGGCCTCAAACCTCCGATCAACAATTGAACCTGATCTGATCAACCATACTCCAACCACTAACCCCTAGAGTCCCGGTGTCACCACTGGAGATTCCCCAACCACCTCGGCTTCCTCCTCTGCCGCCATCTCCTCCGCCACTCCCGAGGCTGCCGCTGCCACTCCCGAGACTCCCGCCACCTCCGCCGCCACTCCCGAGGCTGCCGCCACCTCCACCACCTCTTCGAAGATTGCCGCCACCTCCGCCACCACTCCCGAGGCTTCCGCCACCTCCGCCGCCATTCCCGAGGCTGCCGCCACCTCCGCCGCCACTCTCAAGACTGCCGCCACCTCCGCCGCCACTTCCGAGACTACTGCCGCCAACGACTCCGCAGCCACCAGCTGCTCGGTGTCCTTTCACATACTACTAGGTCTTGTATTTTCAAAGTGGCCATGTTGATCTATGATATGTTTGGTCCAATGTTTTGAGTACATTGTGGAAAATTAATAACTAAATAAATTTGTCATGTTGGAGATGTTAGGGCGTTATTGCCAGGTTTTTGGTGGTATTTGGTTGGTTAAATTGAATCATTTTGAGTAAGATGATTTAATATAAAAATAGGAAATTAATTATTGTAAGTGATAGATAGTTAAAATTACGTAAGTTAATAAATAACAAATTAAAATTGATAAATAATGATTGATTAGTATTATTCAATTATATCGATAAAAAATATGAGTTGAGTCGGTCAAAACCGATTAAAACCAATTATAAATTATGATTCATATCCAATCGACGCCTTATCCTTTTTTCTTCTCTATTTGGTTTTAATGGCTAGAGAAAATATTAGTGACATCACCCTGCGTATTCCCCGGCTGACTTTCCCGGCAAGCAAAACTCGGCAGTTGGCTTAAACGGCATCACATTTTTCTTTCGTGTACCGGTATTTTTTTTCCACGATCTCCAGGTAAATAGTAGAATCTCTGCCTAGGCTAGATCACAGGGTAAGAAAGCACCGCGTTTCATTCAAATGCGCTAGGTAATGTTCGGCAAGTGGCCT